CACCTGAACCAACTAATCAAGGTCTTACTAGGCATACTAAAAACTTCCAGGCAGGTGTGTTGAGGCAAGTTGGAGCTAAACTCTGCAGGACAATGGCCCTCCAGGACCGAGTTTGGACACCCCTACCTTACATGTTACCTATAAGGCAATATATAATTTTCACATTCTCTGGGTGGATGAAGATTTAAGTTTTATAACCAATAAAAAATCCCCATAGTACAATTTGTATGATGATTTGTATATGTTATTGTATGTGGCAAACATATATGTCAGCAATATATATTTTATTTATATATGCAACTTTGCAACAACTTATATACGAAACATTTTTGTAATTTGTTTTTAAATGCATGTCTATATTTTATATTTCTTTATATAATATCAACATGTATTGGTGGGTTTTAGGATGGATATAAATGTACATGACATATATGTCCAAAAATGTATTACACATACATAAATATATATACATACATAAATATATATATATATATATATATATATATGTATGTGTGTGTATGCATGTATATAAAATATATGAAAATGTTCGAATTTCCAATAGGTTTCATAAATGTTTTTACTTCATATGACAATTTTCATATTTTCATATATGTATATATTTAATATATGGGAATTTTATATATGGAAATTTGTTACATTTGCGTATGAGTATAAAGGAATAATCACATATACGCAATGTGTTTTCTAACTGTATCAAAATGTAATCAAAATTAAAGGTATAGTTCACTCCAAAAAGAAAATTCTGTCATAATTTATTCTTACCCACTAGTGTTAATTTTGTCAGCTATTTTTAATTTAGTCTTAGTCTTAGTCCTGTGTCAAATGTAACGTTTAGTTTATCCCGTATTTTGTCAACTTGTCCTGTTTTAGTTTTAGTCGACTAAATGTCTGAGCATTTTAGTCTAGTTTTAGTCAGTGGAAACTTACACATTGTTGTCATATTTTCGTCTTACTGTATAATGGTTAAAATGATGAAAAAAAATAATTATTTTGCTAAATTTTAATTGCAATGATTGTTGTCATTTAGGAAATTTATTTTTACATTTCATCAGAAGTTGCTCTTTCACCAATAAGCACAATTCAATAGAATATTGACTCGTATTCATGGTTTATTTTACCTCATCTAACGTTAGTGCACAGATTTATAACAGGATATCAATTAGAGGCTAAATAAACACCAAAGACTTCAGATATACACTCGCCCTGTCTACGTTATGAAAACTGCCGTAACAAAAACCTACTCTCAAATATTATAACAGAGAAATTCCTAATAGGAGTTTCAATAATTCCAAATTGCATTAATGTTTCTCTTTTAAAACAACGGCAAAAATACTTATTGCCGCACAGAGGTTGCGTAAGTAACATTACAATCCGAAACCACTATCGCAAACAATACAGTCGAGGTCCATGACAGAACACAGACTGGCTGAATGACACTTTCATTTAAGCAGAATACCTCAAATGGAGATCGCTGAACTCCAGCTTACCTGTACAGTACTATATGTTGGTATATCACCAGATTGCATAAAGCAAAAAGCTGGGAAGAGTACATATCCGTTTAACAGAAAAGCTCTGATTGGGGGATTTGAGGTCTTGATATCTGGCAACGATGTAGCCTTACATCTAAGGGGGCTGGGACGCATTCATAGTACAGCCTCACGTGTGCGCCACATCTCTGAGTGTAACCGGTGTAAATTAGTAGGTGTGTTCGACTTGACGCGGACTGACTGTGCAGACCGATCGGTGTATTACAGTACCACGAGAGCTAAAGAGAGCAGACTGCTCCGTGCGCTTTCGAATCGCTCTCGTGGATGTCAAACACTGATCGATCTGCGCCGCACCTCTTCTAATCGAACACACCGGCTAGTGCTGCAGGCTTATTGGCTCACTGATGCTGATGAGATTTACCCCTTAGGTATCGACATTTGGT